GAGAACATGCATGTCTTAAACTATTTGCAATATACAAAAGTTAGGAATATTTTACTATATGAACCAAGGCATCTGATTTGAAATTTTCTTTGAAATTTTCTTAGACTTCTTACGCCACATCACGTATTGACGGGAAGAAGTCGTAGCCATCGCCTATCTGAGTACGAAATTTTGGAGAAATCTTTTAGTCATGTGCAAACCTAAAATTTTAAAATAAAAATTGCGACAAAAATTGACAAATAATCTATTTAATACTATAAATATCAGGCTGGTTTTTAACCCCACTTATTCTTGACTTACTTGCACTAAATTCGTGTATTGCTGCTCATAGATGAGGCTATGGTTTTGTAGTGGATTTTAGCCTGCGTGCGATCGCACGCGATCAAATCTCGTACTCGCTGATAAAGCTCCCTATTAAATTTGGGCTATGGTCATGCACCACATCCTACGTAATACACCTGCCTACTTACTCAGCTACCTAGGGCTGGGGATTTTCATCGATGTAGTTTTAGATTTGGGGATGGGTGTAGTTTTAGATTCGTTCAATTCTGATGAATTGAGGGAATTGGGTTTATACTGTCAAAAGGTGATTTATGAAGACCTTTGCATTTTTGTCCAAGTGCCTCCACAAAGCAGGAAATGCCGTTTCAGAGACCTTAATTTATGGTCATTAGTTGTTTGGCACCCAAAGTGTATGGACTATATCCAAATAATGCAAAACGTTTAAACACCCTCCATCCCACGCTATATTAAATAGGTATGCCAGTGTACTCGTTATTACTTTTCTCACCACCATTTGTAATGGTGAGTGCAAGCTGCCCGAGTGTGATTGACAGCTCTGGATATCATTTGCATGGATCTTTCCTCAATCCAAACACCACCGCTAGTTCTCAGGGCATCTCGGTCAACAGCTTGCACCTAACCACATAGATATTAACTACATATCTATACATATTCATCTATCTATCTACCCATCTACCTGCCTGCCTGCCTGCCACCTTTGATTCTCACTAACTGTTTTTACAAGTACCTGGCTGTACCTACCTACGTCCTTCATAATACAATGATGTCTGTATCTCTTGACCAGCTCAGCTAACCGCCGTCCCGGCAAGCTAACATATTGATTCATTTCTTGAATAACTGTATTATATGAATCCTGAGACAAACGTTTTGTCAACACAGCTCGTTTCATTGACTTGACATTCCGCTCTGCGTCCAAACGTGTAAACATCAGAGATGATATTGATGGCTGAATGAAACGAAAAATCTGTGTTACCGAGCACTCAATACTTTTCAAAACAAGGCCGGATTTTGGTAGAAATAGTTGGAGAGGCGGCAAAATTTTGGGGAGGTGCAGCGATATAACGGACATAGAAGAATGGCTATCACTGTTCCAATTTAACAGTCAAAACTTTCTTACGAAGTATAGACCCTAAGCAACCAAAGATGTCAATTTTTCACTTTGATCTATTATTGAAACTTTCCCAAGGAGAGGTGCACGATTTTCAGGGGAGGTGCCAAACGATCTCGGTGGAGGTGAGCACCTTTCCACACCTTCCCTCAAAATCCGGCCATGTTTCAAAACACTTAAAACTAGATTGTAAGCAAAAGGTGGTGCTAAAATAAATATCTTTTGGATAGCACATCGGGAAAATATTTATGTGTGAATGTTTCAGTATTCCTCGGGTGTTGGTTAGAGGAAGAGTAAATTCAAAAAGTTTTCAAGGACTTTTAAAAGCCATGTATAGGGAAAATTCAAGGACTAAAGGGCTGAAAAAACGGCGCCAGAAACCAGCAAAAAAGTGATGTTAAACTGTTCATTTTGCAACTTCAATGAATTTCAAACAGCTTTGTAAGACAAAAACGAAGTCATATCAACATTCGTAATTAATGTCAAACAAATTTCCGAAAATATCCAAACACTAAAGCGGGAAAATTCAAGGAATTTCAAGCCCTTCTTTACATAAATCGAAGGAATTTCATGACTTGAATCTTATTTTTCAAATTCAAAAACTTTCAACTCACTTTTAAGCAAAGTCTACCTCAATCCAACATCTTCCCACCATCAGCCAACAAGCAGGAGAACTGACTCAGTGTTGTTCTCTTAAACATGTCTTATAAATCCTTCATAACTTAGCATTTCCCTATGCAAAATTCCTATACTGTGATCCCAGAAACCCAGGCTTTAGGTTTGCTACTGTAGTAATACAGGACAGACGTGGTTTACTCTTAATAGACCTTAATGCCTGTATTCTAAAAGCTCACTCACACTCACAGAGTGGAGGTTCAATCTGAGCTTCTCTCGAGTGTCATTGCCGTTTTTGAATAGCTGGATGGTTAGTATCATATCTTACTATGTGACTACTCACCCTCCAGCTATTCAAAAACAGCATTGACACCCAAGAAAAGCTCAGACTGAACCTCCACTCTTTGAGTGTGAGTGAGCTTTTAGAATACAGGCGTAATTAGAGAGTCAGAACGGTTTAAAACTGGTCAGTGTAAATATATTCCGTCGAGTTATTTTGTCTAATCCTTAAGGATTAGATTTCTACAATCTCCCCTACCTGTGTTGAAATTCTTCCACTGGCGCTTCCATCCGTCAACTGAGACCTGAGATTATTAATCGTCTCTTGCATTTCATTCATAATCCCAGCATTCTCACTGATCTGCTCTTGATACGACTTCACATTCTCTTGTAACTGCTGAGTCAGCGTGCTATATTCTTCGTTGAGGTTGTTGTATTCGTGAAGTAGCCGCGTGTAGCCTTTGGGTGTCGTTGGGGTCGGACGAGGCATGCGACGTCTGGTAGTTTGAACTGATCGATCTATGGTAAAGAATTCAAAAGCTCAAATTAACAATCCGTGAAAAAATCTATGTAAGCTATCCACGGGCCACGAGCCCGTTTTCCTCTAGGCGAAATTGTGCGCGCGAAGCCAAACAGTAAATTCAAGAACATGTTTAGTTGTTGCTGAAACTTGCTTTTCGATTCGCCTAGCAGTAAACGAGCTTTATTTTCATATAAACTCTTTTATGAGCAGATGTTAAACAAATTAATGTTAGATAACATTGATCGAGGGTCTATCCGTTTGGGCCGGGGGCATCTGGAAAATGGTTTAATATTTAGGGTCTGTGAAACGCTATTTTATGTATTTTAGACACGTTTCATAGCAATCTGAAAGCCACAGATTTCGTACATTTATGTCATAGATGAAAGCATTACGAGGTTACACCTCCCCCCCCTTTTCTAATCAGTTTTGGAAGAATTACAAGAGTCCGGACGTGTTCCGTGTACAAGAGTTCCCCCGTGGTTACGCTCCTGTGGACCAATGGCCGAGTCTACTATGAGTTTAAAACAACTCAAAGTCTCAAGAAGACCTTCAGCAACGCAAGCTAACTGAACTACAGAGTCCAGTCAGTGTCAAGCTTTAAATGCGAGTTCATGTATATACACTAAGGCCACATAAAAAAAATTACTTGTTTAGCGTCCACCCATTTTAATTTTTCTAGGTCGGGCGGACGGATTTTTTTTTTTTTTTTGTAAAATGCAACACAAAATTCTGCTAAATGCAGGAAATCCAGTATATTACCACAGTCAAAACTCACTTTAATTCTTTCAAAATCCGTTCATGTTTTTTAATACAGTTCATGTTTTTAATAAAACAGAAAATTACCGTTTGGCCGGTCACGCGCGAACACTTTAGCTGCGAACAGGCTATGGACTAAACTCGGATGGATTTAAAAAAAAAAATTTTAAAAAATTGGAGGTCGGGGACTTTTATCAGGTCGGGCGGGGACGCTAAACAAGTAATATTTTTTATGTGGCCTTATAAATAATCCGCGAAGGAATTGTGTTATTTCCAATAGCAAGGCTGTTCTTTTTAAGTTGGATGGAATCTCGGTGTATCATCATCGTGAAAACAAGCGCAGTATTTAAGGTTGGTATCCTACAATGCAATACAGTTGACTTGTTTCAAATTTCCGCTTTGCTGTTTTCAATATTGTACTGTAATTTTATAAATACACTGTACAAATTATGGCGTAATATTTCAAATATTAAATTCAACCCTTTAGTTTGACCCTATTCCTGATGAGTTTGCTAATGAAAACATTCAGCATATGCTTTTGGATTTCGATGTGGATCATATCAGTTGACAGCGAATACAATTGATGATGGACATTGGTTTTCAGATGAGTCTGAAGGTATTGTTATTTGTATGTATTTTATAAATTTTTGCTGAGTATGATGCCTGTTTGTATCTAGTTGTGGATGGTTGTTTAAATGTGCAAAGTGTAGTTTAATATTTTTCAATTTTCATCTAAATATTGTTTGTGTGTTGTTCTATTATGGTTAGCACTATTTTCCATCCAGCAAACTGACCTGACGTCATTTTAGGAAGATAGAAGAGGTGTTAAATGGCTATGTAACTAACCTAAACCCTACCCCTACTTTAACCCCTAACGCAACTCTAACCCTAACCGAATTAATAAAAAAAAACGACTTTAGAAAATCGATAGGGCGGTTTGCTGGATGGAAAAAAGTGCTAATTGTGTAAGATTGCTAATTTTAGAGATGACGGTGCATGAAATAATAATTTTCTTGTTATGATTTTGTAGAAAGAGATTTACATGAGTTGTTGGCTGGTCATGAGCCTGTTCAGGAAGGATATGATAATGAAAGAGGTGATAGGGTAGAAAGTGATGACAAGTTAAGTGATGAGGAGGAAGAAATCAACCAGGCTGTACCATTCAAGTGCATCTGTGGGAAAAGGCATACCTCACTCTTCATGAACAAGATAAACCAGTGAATGTAAGAATACAGCCAGAGCCATTGAATCCAAGGGACCCAAGTGCAATAGCAATTGATCTAGACTATGGAACTGGATGGCCCCATGTTGGTTATATATTGCTTCTGAACTATTCACTGTATCCGCACCCATTAATTGCTGCAAGGGATGTCGTGGATGTCTAATATGTTCAGCATATCAAGTATAGGATTGACTTTTTTAAAATAGGATTTTATCCAAAACTTTTTGCAGAGACATGGTTAGTGCATGGGAGACTTAAGTGGTAGGAAAAGCATGAGTGTATGTTGACAGATGTTTTTTTATATAAATAATAGCAACTAACTATGTTTAGCAAGTTATTGAAGTGCATTTATTTCAACTGGCTAACTTTTTAGATTTTTTCCAGCATTTTTTAAACTAACCATGGGTTATAAATGATAACTTTCTATATCTAATTAAAACAATCTGTCATGTACACTCATGCAAAATAAGTACATAACTGTAAAAATGTGCTTTAGTAAGTAAATAAGTAATTTATCCATGCACTTGACCTTCTTTGTTTGTAATTTTTTCAGATTAAAATTAATGCAACAATAAAACAAGAAGATGTCTATTTATATAATTGCACAGGTCAATTCCTGGAGTAACCATCCCCCCGGGACACCCCTGGGAATTTGCCTAATAGACAGTTCACAGGGGTCGGGAATTTACCTGTCATATACGTGTACAGGGGCCGGGCATTGGGCCCGGGTACGTGTACAGGGGCCGGGTATTGGGCCCGGGGATTTGACAAATGGTTTCACCTTTGCAAAACTTATTACCTGTGCCATGCGAATAAAGTTTTATAATATTCCATAGCAGCTTAATAGTATAATGTTATTAAATGAATATGCCTATGATATGCATTCATCGTCCCAGGGGTGGGGCATTTTCCACTCTCAGCTTGCCCAAGGGCCGTGCATTAGTCTCCTACTCCTAGTTGTGTCCCGGCACACTTCTTCTATTAACTGTGCACTATCGTAACCAGTCAAATCAAATGCCCAGGTGTGTTCCCGGGGGGGAGGGGGGGTGATGGTTACTCCTGGAATTGACTCGTGCATAATATTTATTAAATTTCAATAAATTGACCACAATACAATAAAAATACAATAAAAACTTGTTTT